CCAGGCTATGGTCTGTTCTATGGTTGAACATTTGCCCATTTTTGTGTCTAACCTTATAATCACTGAATTTTCTATAATGATCCAGCTTACTATGTGCTGAGCCTTCATTAAGTGATCCAAATAAAATTTGACATTTTTAAAAAAATGTATAAATAGTAATTTTGATTTATTTATGAATTTTAAAAAATCACAAAAGTCTTTTCAGGTTGGTTTAATCTGGTAATACAATGTATTAGGTTGAATCAACATGAAACTGCTATTTTTGTGGGCCAAAAGGTCAAATATCAGCAAGTTTATGTGATTCAGTCTAGTAGTTATGGGGGAATACTACATAATACTTGCTCCATTGGCACAGTGAATTTTAAAAATTTCACTATCTACTCCCTTCAAGTGAAAGTAGCAAATTCTGTATCACCTTAGGAAGAGTTGGATTTTTTGATGGTGTAGCAAATAGCTCAGCAAATAAAAATGTGTTAAGTAAACACAGGTGGCTGGATATTTCTTGGTGAATTTAGAAGTGACTATGGAATACGGTATTTCTTTCCTGATAATCAATGTGGTTTTTTTTTGTTTTTTTTTTTTTATCCCCAAAGTTTAAATCTCCAAGTGTTTTTTTCCTCCTATAAGTTAGGAAAATATATAGCGTTTATTCTCACTATGTTTACCTAGAAACCTTGGACACAACAATAATAAAGAAGTAGCCCTGTAAGATACAATCATGTAACTTTTAGTGCTAAAAGAAACATTATTATTATTATTATTATTATTATGCCAGAGCCCACCTCAAACAGATTTCTATGTAAAAATGAGAAACAAGAGCATTAAGATGGTTTATTACAGGAAGAGTTTTTATAGGGCTGGGGTTTCAGTGAGCTCGCCTGTGACAAAGCAAATTGATGGCAGTGATAGGCTAGTGATGTCATTGTGATGTCAGTCCTCCTGCTTATCCTGCACATGCTTGCTAATTTGGAACACTTTATGTTGAACTGTGGTAGAGGAAACAAGACAGTTCTGTCTGCAGAAGCCCATTATGGCTGTAACTGGAGATGACACAGGTAAGAATGTTAAAGAGGGGTTTCAGTTAATTCTGCAGATTGTTTTGAAGTTTAGGAAGTATTCAGGAACATCTGAGTGTTTCAGAAAGTGTTACTCTCCTAGTCACTTAGGTTTAAGACTTTTTTGAAATACACATCTATATATATTCAGCTCACTTTGTTAGGGCATCTTAGTATGATTGTTTCTTTGCTCAATATTCTGTTGCTTGCTTGACTGAGGCACTAATCCTCTCTTCCTCCCTCTGTCCTCCCTCCCCTCCTCCCCCTTCCCCTCTTCCCCTCCTCCCATCCTCCCCTCTTCTCTCCCTTCTCTTCCTCCCCTGCATCTCTGTGTCTCTCTTTCATGTGCATACCATTCTGCCCTACTAAAATAAGCTGTTACTTCATCTGCAACCTGTTGCAAATTCAGTCTAGCCGCAGGTTAAACATACAGTATATACTGTTCACGTTCTGATTTCGTTACTGTGGGCAAATGCAGCTCCAAACAGAATAGGAAAAACCCGCGTGTTATGGATGTTTATGTGCCTACTTGTTTCTTTCCTC